ACGGGCGGAGGGGTCCCCTCGATCCTCGCACAGCCCCTTTCCCCCCCCTCACCCCCGAAGCAACGCTCTGGATGCAGAGTGGGGGCTCCTTTGAAATTCCCCCTCCATTGCCCATTACGCTCCCACTTCATTCGAGCCATAAAGGATTTCTCCCCGCTCCCACTGAGTCCCACGCTCCTCCTCACAGCCTCTTCCCTGCTCTCTGAGCCCTGCCCCGCTCTGCAGTTTTAATGCGGAAGCAGAGCCATCCTCCCAAGTGCAGGATCTAACTGAGGATCTAGATCAGGATCTAAACCAGGATCCTTTGGGAGCCCCAACTGCCCGTTAGGAGCTGCCTCGTCCCCTCCCCGCCTGACAGAACCCCCTTGGTCAAACTGTGCCTTGTCTTCTTATTCCATCCACGACTAGAAACGCTATCAGTCACCGACTCCCCGGACGTTCTGGACAGGCAGAAATGCCTTGCTGCCTTGGCGTCACTGCGGCACGCCAAGTGGTTCCAGGTTTGCATTTTGTTCTTATATTTGTCTTTAAGTAGCAAGTTTGTAAACTCTTAAGGGGCTAACTCTCGTGTTTTTCTTTTTTCTTTCTTTCTTTTGATATATAATACTTTAACATCAGATGGTAGTTAGAGGCGCTGAACGCGGCGCCTGGCGCCGGGGCAGTTGCTAAAGAAGCACTTGAGCGAGTTAAACGTTCGGAAGGAACCTTTGTTTAAAGAGTAGCTGCTGCTTTGTGTTAAGAGTAATGTCACTTTGTCACCTCGCACACGACAGTTACCAGTTCTAGTAAGGTCCCCCCTGGCAAAGCAGCACCACACGAGTGAATGTCTGCGCCGGCGCCGCGCCGGAGCCTTCACTCAGGGTGCTTCTGCCTCTGCTTCCGCCTCCAGGCCAGGGCGAACGGGCTCAAGTCGTGTGTCATCGTGATCCGAGTGCTGCGAGACCTGTGCACGCGGGTTCCTACCTGGGCTCCGCTCAGGGGATGGGTGAGTCCCCTGGGATGGAGCCGGATCCGGGCGGGTTTGGGCCCACTTCAGCTGCTGGGGCTGCCCACGTTCCCTCTCGCACGTCAGAGGTTGAGCTGTGGCACATAGAGCTGCAGCTCTGTACGTTGGGCTGTATATGTAGGTAGGGATTGATATCTGTTGGCTTGTATACATATAGAGTTATGGATTTATACGTCTTGATTTCTGTACGTAGTTAGAATCATCAAATCCCACATTGGTTTGGGTTGAAGCTCGTCCAGCTCCATCCCCCTGCCACAGGCAGGGACACCCTTCACTAGAGCAGGTTGCTCCAAGCCCAACCTGGCCTTGAACACTGCCAGGGATGGCACAGCCACAGCTTCTCCGAGCGAAAGGTTGAGGTGTATATATATTTATATGTATATGTATGCTGATTTATCATAGAAAGGTTTGGGCTGGAATCAACCATCACCTTAAAGATGATTCAGCTCCAATGTATATAGCGTGGACAATGTTTCTGCCCTTAAGCTGTGCATCCAATGTGGACAACGTGAGTTGTTCTAGCAGCTCCCAACCTCTCTGGTGTAAATCCCTTCATGGTTGGTGAGTCCGAAGTGGTTCCTGGCCCAAAAGCAGCCACCGTTGCTCCTCACCCCTCTCCAAACTGTCTTTTCAGCCTCTGGAGCTGCTGTGTGAGAAATCCATTGGCACTGCCAACAGGCCGATGGGCGCCGGCGAGGCCCTGCGGAGGGTTCTGGAATGCCTCGCCTCGGGAATCGTCATGCCAGGTTAGGTGCTTCTCTGCATTTCCATTTCAAAGCGGAGCCGAAGCGGAACGCGGTGGCCTTAGCGCTTGAGCAATCCCTCCTCCTCCGGGCGGGCAGCTTAGATGGGGAGCTCAGCAAGCCCCCCCAGGTGCTGCGGTACCTCGTAGGGCACGGAGCCATCACCTCGAACCCCCACCCCATAGAGAGGTTCCAGCTTCTACGAGCGTGACCTTTGGTTCCTTACGTGGTGGTGAAGCAGCTCCACTGCGAAGCGTGCGTGGTAAATAGCCCAGGCGAGAGTCACAGTGGTGGACGTTGGATGGATCGTGTCAGTCCGTGTTCTTGGAGTGTTGATTGATGCCAAGGGAATACTTAGTTTAGTTTCTTTAGAAACACCAGGATAATTCTCTGCATATCTTCCTTGTTTCCTGCCTTCAGATGGTTCTGGTATTTATGATCCTTGTGAAAAAGAAGCCACTGATGCTATTGGGCATCTAGACAGACAACAAAGGGAAGATATCACACAGAGTGCTCAGGTATAGTTTTGACTACAGATGTTACACAAACTTACTCAGTTCAACTGACTCTGAACTCCCCCGTTGGCTCACGGTAGAGTCGCTGTTAACACTTGTCATCTCTAGTGGAGTAAAAGAACTGATGAGGGGGTCCCACGCCGCTGAGGTATTTGTAGCTTGGCCAACCAGAAGCAAAGTCTCAGGTTTTAAATAGTGACTTGGACCATGACCCGCCTTTCGGGTCCAAAACCTACCCAAATCCAGAGAGTCCTATTTAAACTGCTGAGGATTTCGGTGTAGGGGTGGGTAGAATGTGCTGTGCAGGGAACAGAGACCAGCGCCGCCGCCTGCGCCCCCCAGTAACGCACCTTTCCTCTTTCTAGCACGCTTTGAGACTTGCTGCTTTTGGCCAACTGCACAAAGTCTTGGGGATGGACCCTCTCCCTTCCAAAATGCCCAAGAAACCAAAGAATGAGAACCCCATTGACTACACTGGTAGGTCCCTGCCCCATAAACCCCATCCCGAGCCGCGTTGCCGAGGCTCTGGTTGGAATTCTGAAGGGGGGGTTTATTCCCGTTGCCACAGTCCAGATTCCTCCCAGCACCACGTACGCTGTGACCCCACTGAAGCGCCCGATGGAGGAGGATGGAGAGGAGAAATCTCCCAGCAAAAAGAAAAAGAAGATTCAGAAAAAAGGTATTGAGCTAACGAGAGGTAGGTGCAAAGGGCTGCCCAGGGCGGGTGGTGGAGGGGGGCACGTTGGGAAGGGCTCTTCCAGCCTTGGGCTAGGGCGAAGCTGGAAACGGGGGCTCCGGGCGTGTGGATTTGGGAGGTGAAACCTTAACGCTGTCAGGTTCAAGGTGTGGGGGGGGAATAGGGAGCAGAACGTGTCTGAGATCAGTTGTTGTGTGTGAAAGAGGTGACAAACACCCACAAACTCCCCTGTTTCCTCTCTCTTCAGAGGAGAAGCTGGAACCTCCGCAGGCCATGAACGCGCTGATGAAACTAAACCAGCTCAAGCCCGGCCTCCAGTACAAACTGGTCTCTCAGACTGGTCCTGTTCACGCTCCAATCTTTACGATGTCCGTGGAAATCGATGGCAGCACCTTTGAGGCATCAGGGCCTTCCAAAAAGACAGCCAAGCTGCACGTGGCCGTGAAGGTGAGGACCGGACGCGGGAAGGGGATCGAGGGCGGTTGTGGCGACAACCACGTGTGAGGAACGTCGCCTCCCCCACCATGGCGTGGCCTGTGAAGGGAGGTGGGAGGTGCTCAGTGCTCAGCGCACCCTGGTCCTCGTGGTGAGCTCCTCTCCAACCCCTTCCCCAGGTATTGCAAGACATGGGCCTTCCCACCGGCGTGGAAGGCAAAGAGGCTGGGAAGGGAGACGAGTCGGCTGAAGAGAGCGAACAGAAACCGGTTGTTGTTGCTCCTCCTCCTGTTGTAGAAACAGTCTCGACACCCGCGGCCGCGTCTCCTCCGTCGGATCAGACCCCAGAGGTGAGCGCAGCCACCATGCTCCAATCCCTTGGGAGGAAGATGTAGGGCACCACTGGAAGTGCCTCTTGCTCTGCCCTGGTAACCCAGGTTTTCAGGCGAGCTTATTCCAAGCTCCTCGAGGGACTCTTCATCAGGGTTGGGAGCGATAGGACAAGGGGTGATGGGTTCAGACTGAAACAGGGGAAGTTCAGGTTGGAGATCAGGAAGAAGTTCCTTACCATGAGGGTGGTGGGACACTGGAGTGAGTTGCCCAAGGAAGTTGTGAATGCTCCATCCCTGGCGGTGTTCAAGGCTGGTTTGGATGGAATCTTGGGTGACATGGTCTAGTGTGAGGTGTCCCTGCCCATGGCAGGGGGTTGGAACTGGATGAGCTTAAGGTTCTTTCCAACCCAACCCATTCCATGATAGTTCCCAAGTTTTTGGAATCAACTCTGTCCTGTTGGGAGGACAAAGGCTCATCCCAGCTTCTCCCCTTGCAGAATGTGAAGCAGCAGGGACCAATCCTGACCAAGCACGGCAAGAACCCAGTGATGGAGCTCAACGAGAAGCGGCGCGGGCTGAAGTACGAGCTGATCTCGGAAACGGGTGGCAGCCACGACAAGCGCTTCGTCATGGAGGTGAGCTGATCCCCACGGGCCTGTCACTGCAGGGGCATTAAACCCAGGACATCTGGGAATGCTTTGGGTTGGAAAGGACCTTCTAAGGTGGGCAGGGCGGATTCCACCACATCAGCTCACTCAGAGCCTCGTCCGACCTTTGAACACTCCCAACCTCTGTCTGTAGCACGGTTCAGTTGCCCAAGTGGCAGCTCCTGCTCCAATGGTTTCATCCCTTTCCAAGGTGGAGGTGGATGGGCAGAAGTTCCAAGGAGCTGGTTCCAATAAGAAGGTGGCGAAAGCTTACGCCGCGCTGGCTGCGCTGGAGAAGTTGTTCCCCGATGCTCCTGTGGCCATTGAGCAGAACAAGAAGAAAAGAGCCCCCGTGCCCACGAGAGGGGGGCCCAAGTTCGCCGTGAAGGTCAGTGCATCCACAGTGCCAGCTCCCGCTCCGGGCCTTTAATCCCTTTTTGGGAGGGGAAATGGTTTAAGGGGCAGAGGGGAAGCAGGACCACCAAGGGCTCCAAACACCATCAACTTGGAAACTGGCCTCGATTCCCTTCCCGTGGCTCCCATCCCCATCACTGTTGGCTCAGTCCCTCCTCTTTGGGCCGGGGAGCTCCCCCCATCCCTTTGGAAAGTCTCTTTTCCCCTGGGAAGGCCTGGTAACACGTGCGTGTGTGTCTCCTCCCTCCAGCAGCACAACCCCGGGTTCGGAATGGGAGGCCCCATGCACAACGAGGTGCCGCCACCACCCAACATGCGCGGCCGTGGGCGAGGTGGCAACATC